TGCAAGAGTTAACATTTATACCTCCTCTCTGTGCCAGTTGCAACCTGGTCGGTATTTCTGCCGCCACACTAGAGTAGTGTGAATGAATGATTGTCAGGTACACATAGCGGAGTGGAACATTGCTGAAATCCAAATCAAGACCCCAAGAGAACCACCGCCTTTTACTATGTCTCCAGTTGGAAGCACATACACTTTTCCTCAGCTAGTGGCATCTGACCCTTTGAGCTAGCAGAGGGATTGTGAAACTTGGCTTCTCCAAGGAGCTCCCACTGCTGCCCTCCACAGGGATCTGTAGCATCTGCTGCCTGACCAGGAGTTCTGTCAGATCCATGCAGCCCGGGTGAACCTTTCCCAGAAATGCCTTTCTCAGTGGCAGAGAAAAATTGTCATGATCCAAGTCATGGCACAAATATATGTCTGTGATTTGGCTCCTGGTGCTAACACTGCTCATATACAAAGCCAGAGCTATGAGCCTGGCAAAGTTGCTCCCCCCACTGAAGCACAGCAAATTCACTGTAAACATGGGCATGAGACATTCCCAGTGGAGAAGGAAATGGAATGAGGTTTACAGGGGAGAAACACTCAGCGTGGTCCAGGGTGCCCATCCCACCACAGAGATTCTCACCAAGCAAGAACCTCCATGGCTGGGTAGGAGGTAGCATTTCTCAGAGCACTCCAAGGTTAAGAGAACTCCAGAGGGGCAAACCACAGTGGTCTTACAGGTGGCTTGGCAAAGGGAATGCCCAGGAAGGTGTGGATTGTCATGCTGCTGTCCTTTGCATGTACTAAGGCTGCCCCACATCTTCCTTATGTATGGTCCTGATGGGGCTGGCTGGGTCCTGGTTGGTGGATAGAGAGAGTCACATCAGAGTTGGGTGTGTTCATCAGCTGCCACTCACACTGAGGCTCCTGTTGGCTCTATGCCACCCACAGCTCAGCCTGGCAAGGTCCTCTGATCTGCAGGTTCAATGGCTTCACATACATTCTGTCTGCATGACTGTGCTACAACACCATTGTTTTCACTGACTGACCCAGACCTTCCTACCAGGCAGGCTCCCTGAGGTTCTTTGGGAGTTGATAGCATCTTAAGCCCTATTAGCTTCCAGCTTAGGTGATGGGAAGATAAGCATCATTTCTAGTAACCTAAGGGTTTTTAAAAGGCACCATCAGGAAGCTGGGGATTGGACTGAACATTTCCAATCCTCATGGACTCATACTGGAGGTATCAAAAATGCCCAAAAGAAATAGGGCTGCAAGGTAAGAGTCACACAACTGTGATCAAATTGTGAAAACCTTGGCTGGGTTGTATTGGGAACCAAGGAGGGAAGAGGCCATTGGAAATCATCTTATGGTCCATATCAACATGTTTGTACAATCATGGTAATTGTTTAAATGGATGCTTCATACATTGGGCTTTTTCCTCTACCTTAAAAAGAACCCTTTTGTGTGTGCCCACATTTGGTAGTCCCAAAACTTCTGCTCCTTCAGGTGTTTTGAGACATCCAGTCAAGTCCACAAGCTCTGGCTATTTTGTAATCAGTACCAATTCCACCTCCACTGGAACCGTCTCTCCCGCATTATCACCTTCAAGTTGCTGAAAATCCCAAATCTGATCTATTTGTTAAGAAAAGTAACTCTCCTGCCCCTAAGCACTCTCCAGGAGCAAGCTATGAATCAGCAAGCTTCATGTCCCCTCCTATGGCTAAAGCCAAGATAGCAACCACAAACACACTATCGACAGCAATTTCCCAATATCGTTCCAAGTCCAAAGAGATACCACTGACCTCCATGTTGTCTATACAAGAGGTTTGGGCTGCATAGGAACTCTGACCCTGGACCTCACTGTGGCCACCAGCCACTTATTCTTCATAGTTGTTACAGGAGAGGACCAGCATTGCTCCCAGGTTCCTGTTAGAGACCAGCTACCTGCATATTGCTTCTAGCTCGTCATGAAATGGTATGAGGAAGCTGAACCATGCTGTGGCAAAAGTGACTCTTCAATTAGGAGATTTAAAACCCTGGGTCTTCTGGATAGCAAGATTTGCACAGCAAACTATTCTTGTAATAAGCAGTTGTTACCTTGTAATCACTATTTTAGAATCACTAGTCAGATCCTGATCAAATGCAGGTATGGGAGGGAATTTGGAAGGCGTGAGCCATGGGTGAGCTGAGGGGAACTCAGTGCAGATTAAATAGGAGAGGGTAGGTGAGTTCATCAGGGCCCATCCCAGCTTTCTCTGGGGTGAGGGGGAGCAAAGTTTGCTCATACATTTCTGGATATAATCCTCTGGTTGCATGAGTTCCTGATAAGATCATGAGGACTGTGTAGCTGGCACAGGGCATATCATCTTTTGTCCTAGAAGCCAAGCCAAGCCTTTGCCTAGAGTTGATACGTGGGTGAAAGAAACGCAGTGGCATCTCAGTTCAACTTCCTGATGTGTTTCTGGGGAGGTATAGCTCTTCCAGAACCAGAAACCTTTGCAGTGGCTTTGGACCTTGCCAAGATGCTTCTCTGGCAATGAGGGGACCCAATCAGTTTGAATGACAACTATGTTAGCAGGTTTAGTAGCAGTTACAACAACTGTAACAACCCACAAAGGAGGGAAAATGTTCAGAATCCCTGACTCTGTCCGGAACATGTCAGTGCATCCTAGATGCTTTCATATGGGCCTCATTCCTCTGTGTCCTCAGGCATCTCTGACCCTCTCCGAGCTATATGATCAGCACCATGGGCATTGTGTAGCACAATTTTTCCACAATATCATTTGTAATCTTCACCTATCCCTTCTTCCCTCCCTTATCCAAGCTCTAACTCTGCTTTACACAATGTGGCAAATCTCACCCTGGTGCCTTCCCCACCAACTGGTGCCCTGCTAGAGTCTCACCCTGGATCTAGAGTGGGAGAAGCAGGAACCCATAGACCACTGCAGTCAGCCAAGCAGGAAGTTGGTCCAACAGCATGGCTGTCTCACAGGACCATTTCTGTGTCTCTATGCAGCACATTTCAAACCACCAACAGGCACAATTCACCTAGACCTTGCCCAGCCTGGAGTATGGACCTGACAGCGAGTAGGCGGGGACATAGGAGAGGCTGGGCAAGGTTGTTCCTGTGAGAGAGGGGCACTGATGGGGCAGTGGTCACAGGAAATCAGTGGTCAGCACTCTGGGTGTGAGGCCTTCCCTTCTCCTACTTTCCTTTTGCCCTCCTCCAAAGGTACTGGGTGACTTCTGCAGCCATTGAGATACTAGGAACTATCACTGAAGTGAAGGTTTTACTGGAGAAATTCAGGGCTGGTCTGCAGAGAAGCAGGCTTAGGATTCCACAGATGCACAATGCCCCCACCTCCTGTGAGGTAAAGATGAGCACTTGAGCAGAGACAGGGAGGTATGACTGTGCTTGTTTTGAAATTCCTCCTTGTTCTCATTGTTCATAGATTACAGAATCCATGTTTAAAGTCCCCTCATCCCTCAGCGTCATAGTCTGAGGGTCTGTATGGACCTCTTCCTTTTTAGGAATGACTGACCCTTCGAACATACTTGTCACTGTGTCATTTCTAAGGTCCCATCCCCCTATTCACCGACCCCCAATCTGAGATCAAGGTCAGGCATTTTCACACCTGAAAAACATTTAAAGGGCACTTGATGGTTGCAGCACTGCGAGGAAACAGGGCTCTCTGAGACTGTGGTAATCTGTGAGTGAGGTCAGTAATTGGGCGTTTGTGAAAAGTGCAGAATCCTGCACAGGTGCCAGTTGCTGCAGCCCTGCCTGACTTTCCAGAGGAAGTGGAAGGCTCAACCTGACATGGACTTCACTGCCTCTAAGAACCAGGTTTCATTCTTCAATCTGCTGCACAATATTGTTGAGAACCTATAGCCTGGCACTACTGGCTTTCCTTCTTGGTGCCATTCCTGGAGTGTTCATTTCCCTGGCATGACTTGACTAAAGACTCTCTGACCTCCATTCCAGCCACCAGGTCTGATGTGCACTCAAGGTCTCCAGTCTAAGGAACTGAGGCCCAAGACATGGTCCCAGACCCTTCTACCCAGACCTGGGCAGATGCTCTTGGTAGACTCTCACACACAGTTTGGAGAATAGACAAAGAGATAGATCACTAACAGCACAAGTTTATTGCAGAGCCTCTAGCCAAAGCTGAATGATTCACTCTTGCTTATAGGATAGGGTTTTTATGCTGGGTTCGTGTAAGTATAATTTGGTAGGGTCTGATAAGAAAGTACCTAATATAGTGCTTCTGCTCCTGAAATTGTTGGTGTTGGTGATATTGGTTTTGGTGGTGGTGGTGGTGGTGGTGGTGGTGGTGGTGGTGGTGGTGTGTGTGTGTGTGTGTGTGTGTGTGTGTGAGTGTCCTGGTACCAGGGCTTGAAGTCAGGGCTGAGAGCTATCCCTTAGCTTTTTCATTCAAAACTGGTGTTGCACTCCACTGGAGCTGAAGCTCCATTGCCAGCTTTTTCCTGCTTAACAGGAGAGAAGAATCTCATGGACTTTCCTACCCAGGCTAGCTTCAAACTGCAAGCCTCACATCTCAGTCTCTTGAGAGTTAGGTTCAGGCTACCAGCACATGGCTTAACCCATGCAAACTGGTGGAGGTTGATTAGACAGTAACTAATAGTGAGAAATAGATATTATGCAAACTGGGGCACAGCTGAAGAAGGGAGGAAATGAAGCAGGGGTGTTAGATCAAGGGGCTGGTCTGGTATCAGCCAAATGGGATACAGCCAGGGGAGAAAGTGAGGCTGGAGTGTGTGTAAACCCAGACACTGGTCTGAAACCTCAGGATAAGGACTTTTGGCTACACAGACTCAATAGCTCTCTCTGACCTTCATTCTCCTAACCTAATCAGTACCTGGGCTGGGGAGCTGAGAGCCTAGGTCCTTGAAGTTCAGGGTTTAGTAACAAGTTCCTTTATTTTCCCTGAAGTTCACAATGCTTCTTCTTACTAGTGTGACTGTGGTGCACCACTGCAAGGTCCCCATATGCACCGTCACTTCCTGCATCAGAGACACAAGCTGGGCGCCAGGGGCTCACACCTATAATTCTAGCTTCTCAGGAACCCTAGAACTGAGGATTTTGGTTCAAAGCCAGCCCAGGCAGGGAAGTCGATGATACTTGTATCTCCAATTAAACACTCAAAGACCCAGAAGAGAATCCAATAGAAATGAAAGTATGTGTCTGCATAAAGTTAGGTTTGAAAGTGTTCTAAACAACTTGATTAAAAATACAAAAGAGGACTGCGTTGTAGTTCAGTGGCAAGGCACTGGCTGAGCAAGTACAACCTCCTGGATTCGATGCTCATTACCAAAAAACGGAAAATAAATGAAGAGAGAAGAGAAGAAAAAACAATGAAGAACATGTCACACACAGATGTGAAGTCCCATTGAACTCCTGGATCTTCTGGGGTAGGGTCTTGGTCCAGAACTTCAGCCTGGAGGCCTTCAGGGCCTGGCCCACGGCAGGATGGATGTCCAGCTGTAGATACTGCTCATTCTGGTCGAACATAGGCCAATGGAGCAGGTCCTCACTGTTGGGGTTCCTGTGGGCACACCCTCCCAGGAGGGGGGGTGAGGGTCATTCGAGTCCTTGTGAGCCTGGACCCAACCACCTCATTAGAGCCATGCCAGGCAGCCCAAAAGATCAGGAGTGGAGGTCTGGGAAGGTGGCTCAGTGGTAGAGCACTTGCCTTGCATACATGAGGCCCTGGGTTCGATTCCTCAGCACCAAGTAAGCAAAAAGAAAAAAGCCAGAAGTGGCACTGTGGCTCAAGTGGTAGAGCACTAGCCTTGAGCTGAAGAGCTGAGGGACAGCGCCCAGGCCCACGACTGGACCCAAAAAATAAACCAAAACAAAACAAAAAGATAAGGAGTGGAGGGAATGAGGGAAACTTTTCTGGTATAGGAAAACTAAGACCTACCCTTAGTATGTGTTTCTTATGGATCAGAGCCACCTCACAGAGGTGAGTGCTGATCTTTCCACAATGCTGTGGTCCACCTTTGAGATCTCTGGAGCAAGAGAGCATGGCTTGACCCTCTGTGTGAGTGAGTGCTGGGGTTTGGAGGAGTGTTATCACATAATTAAGGATGATGTGTCCCTATGAGGATGCCAGAAGGGAATCACTAGGTGGACTTCACTGGTGGGAGGCAGGGTTAGGTGTATTATCTCACCCCTTCTGGGCAAAGTTGGCCCAGTACTTCATCATCCTCCTGCTCAGTAACTTCTCTTCCTCAGAAAAGCCCGCTGCAGAGAGGAGAACAAAGATCCATATCCTGGACAATTTCAGGGTGCCTACTCTGGCTTTACACCCTACATTCAATTGTAGTCTGGTCCTCCATACCAGGCCTGATCTTTTTCCTCTGTCCCACCCAGGATCAGATACTCCCATTGCATAACCTTCCATTACTCATCCCAGCCTCTAGCTGAATACACCAGTGTGTATTCCTGGTCTAGAGGTCATTTCTACCCCCCAGTCCTTGGGAATAATTTATTGACAATCATAACTTCCAATCATGCTCTCTGTACCCATGTCTGACACCTTATTGTAGATGTGGACAGGTGTTGGGAGCACAGGCTGCTTGGGGAAAGGCTAGGATTCTAAAAACCTGCAGCTTTTAGAACACTTGATTGTGTCCTCTCTCTTAGCATTTTAGTGTGGCCAACTGTAGCTAATGGAAATGAAGACTCACGGCTGCTTCCATAGGAGGAAGACCCGAAAACAAAGTCAACCTCATCACCATGGTCGGCCCTCACATACGGGGGCCTGAGGTTCACGGTCAAGTTCTTACGATGTTGGAACTCATAGAAGTAGACGCTGGCATGGAAACCTGGATGTGGAGATAAATTAGGACATGGTGACCCCTCAACTAGAGTTGTCCTTCCTCACCTTTGGTGACAAGATAGCTAGGCTGAAGCTGCCTGGAATCTGGACTGTGAAGTGAGAAGCCTCAGGCAGGAGGAGACCTTGTAAAAACCAAAGGTGCTCATCACAGTCAGCGCTCCATTCTCTGATTTCTAGGATAAGCTTTGAGGTCAAGAATTGCATGCTACTCCTGTTCTCCTAGTGATCCCAATGGGAAAAACTTTGGTTAAATCATGGCTTGGATTTCCTGTGTAGTCTTAGACTAGTAACTGATTAAGTTTTCTCTTCTGTAAAGTGCCAGGAGGATGCCTGTGTCTTAGAGTAGCCATGAGAATTTGATGACTGGTGGGACATCAAGTGCCTGGCCCTGGAGCCTTGAGACAGAGAAGGTAGGGATTTGGACAGAGGTCACCTGGGATGCACAGCTCTGAGCTGTCCACAGTGCCTTCAGGCCTCAGCTACAGATGTACTCACTATGAAAATGCGCTACGTGCAGTGCAGGCATCACGAACATGAAGTCCCCCATCATGTCTTGGAACTGGGCTTGGAGGGTCTGGGGGTCCTCGGTGTCCCCCATGTACTCTTCCATCAGCAAGTCAGCACACTCAGCAGGCAAGTTCTGTGCCAAGAGGATCAGAGAGAGTCAGGCTAAGCAGACAGTTCAATGACAGGGAGGAGGCAGCCTCTGGGTGGAGAGATGGGGACTCTGTGGGAGAGTAGTATAAAAGGGAAGCTCTGGTATAACCCTGCCACAAACACATATCCTATATTCCTGAAAATTAGTGTATGAGCAAATATCTTGGGGCTCCCCATCCATTGAGGCAGGTGTCTAGATCCTTACCATGAGTCCTACCATGTTCTGCATGACAGATGGCAAGGTACTTCTATTTATTCCCTTTATCGTGTCAAGAAATCCCAAGACCTGAGTGGCGGGGAGACAGTTTAAGTTGGAAATGCGTGGTCATGAAGGTATCATGCTAGGTCCAACCATGCACCCCTAACACTCACACACATAGCAGATGAGCTCACCAGAAAATCATGAGTTAGAACTAAGGCTCACCATGGGGAGGAGGAAGCCAAACTCATCAGTGTTGACTCCAATGATGCTAGGGACTGGGTGGAAGTCAGCAGACGCCAGCAGCTCCTTGGGGTGCCTGGGTAGGAAGACCCCATCCACCACTGCAGGGATTTCCTTGAAGGTCTGAGGAGGCATCAGTGATAAGGAAGTGAGATCACATATAATATATTTTCTATTGTACTCATGTTACTTCCACCCTATCCTAATTCTTCCCAGTATTCTCTCCCACACATATACCAAAAGATCCAACACTTGAGTTAGCCTCCCTTTGTTTTTGTTTTGTAGCCAGGGCTGCAAACCAGAGTCATTTCCCATGCTGAAACCTCACCATATCATTCAGCCTGACCTTGGTAATAGCCAGCATTTCCTCTTCACTCTTGGCCCGCAGGCAGTGCACCAGGGCCTCTGAGTCCACCTGCTCACAGGCAGACAGGTTGGCCACCATCTGGAAAGCAACCAGGAAGGGGCTGCCTCACCCTTTGAAGTAGCAAGAGAGGTTTTCCCAGACCCAGATTGATGCAAGTTCCTCCAGATCTCTTAGGGTATCGTGTGTGGATTACTGTAGGTATGAAATTTATTCCCACATTCGTGATGCTCAGGGGCCTTGGTTAGAGAGATCTTCCCCCCAGCTCAAAGGTGTGGATCCTACCTCTGAGCCCTCACCAATTCCCAAGAAGTTCCCAACTTACCGCATGGTCCTTTTTGTACCAAGCAAGCAAAGGGAATCAGGGGCTCTTCGGGTGAGGGGAAAAACAGGGAATCTGGACCAGGGCAGCCTAGGGCACTCACTGAGGAGACTGGTTCAGAGGAGCTGGAGATGAGGGCTGGTGCCAGGGCCACCCCACTCTCCATGATGGCACCATGGAAGAGTCCTCGGGACATGGGGGACACGACATGTGAGGACACACTTGTGCCACCTGCAGACTCGCCAAAAAGGGTGACCTGGTCAGGGTTGCCTCCAAAGTGGGCGATATTCTGTTGGACCCAGCGTAGGGCGGCCACATGGTCCAGGTAGCCCCAGTTGCCAGTGGCATGCTGGTCTCCAGTGCTGAGAAGTGGCAGAGACAAGGGTCACAGGGCTGTCGCAGCTGTGTTTGGCACTCATTGGCCAGCTCAATCCCAGGCTCACCTGAAGAAGCCTAGAACTCCTAGGCGGTACTGGATAGTGACAACCACCACATTCTCAATGGCTGCCAGCATGGATCCATCATTCGTGGAAGCCATTCCTGAAACCAGTGCACCACCATGGATCCACACCATCACCTGGGAAGGTCAAGACATCTGTCATCAATTCTCATTCAGCCATAATCCTACCTCTGGTGTCCATAACACTGTCCATGGGTTTGGCTGTGTGCCATTTGCCAACATGTCAAGAACTCCCTCAGGATCTCCTGAACTTGGCCTTGGGTGAGGGTCCCACGTTCAATCACTATACTTGAGATCCATTCCAGAAATTGAAGTCTGAATTCATGACTCCAAAACTACAGTATTGTTGCCTTAACTCTTTTGCCCATCTACAGTGGAAAGAAAAGGTGCATTTCCCTCACACTCACTTTCATGAGTCAAATGGATCACATATTAGCATTGGCATGATACATAACCAACACTTGGGTGATCTCAAAGTAAAGCACTTGGGCTTCTTAGTAAATATTCTGGGCTCAAGTTGCTAGAGTGAGTTCTTGTTTGATTAAAGAGCCCAGGCCTCTAACATCTGGGGACGGTTAGGATTCTGCATCCCTTACCATTGGTGTGTCACCCTTCCTGGCAAGTGGTGTTTGGAACCTAATAATGAAACTTCTCATTGGTTCCACACTGCCTCAGATCTAGTCTTGCCACTACTAAGAGTCTTACAGAAGAAATGTCCTCCCGCAAAGTACAACCAAGTCCTGACACTCACAGGCAGGTTAGAGCCCTCCTGGGAACTGGCAGGTGAATAGATGTTGAGATAAAGGCAGTCTTCAGACATTGAGATTGGAGGTCTAGTTAGCTTCACCATCTTCAGTGTATTCATAGGAAGAGCCTTTTGCAGACACCTGTTTCAAAGAGTAGACAATTATTCCAGGGTTTGTCTCATGGTCAAAGATCTGACCTTGAGGCTAGATTTGTTTCCAGTCACTGTAAATCTCTGCTGCACTGGTGCTCTGTTTATACAGAATCTTCTCTCATGACTCTCCCAAACAAAATGCAGGCCACATGACTTGGGATGGGTGAGGCTCTCCATCTCAAGCTAGGTGCAGGTCTGATCTCCAGGAAACCTTCATGTTGTTGTGGGCCTTGGATATCTCCCCTCCTAAGGCTTGAACATCTTGACTCATAGCATCTTCTAGAAGCATTGGCTGCAAGTATTGACATTTACACCATTTCTCTGTGCCAATTAAAGATCAGCCAGGGTTGCTGCCACCACACCAGTGCAGTATGAATGAATGAAGCTCAGTTACCTCTAGCATAGTGGGACATTGCTGAAATCCAAATCAAGGACCCCAGAAAAACACACTCCTTTCACCACACGTCCAGTTGGAAGCACATAGACATTTCTTTAATCAGTGTCACCTGGTCCTTTGAGTAAGCACAGTGACTGTGGAGCTTGGCTTCTCCAAGGAGCCCCCACTGCTGCCCTCCTCAGGGAGCTGTAGCATCTGCTGCTGGACCAGGAGCTCTGTCAGGTCCATACAGCCCAGGTGAACCTTTCCCAGGGATGCCTCCCCTGGTGGCAGAGAACAATTGGCATGATCCAAGTCATGGCACAAGTATATCTCTGTGCTTTGGCACCTGGTGCCTAGCACTGTTCATACACAAAGCTAGAGCCGTGAGCCTGGCAAAGTTGCTCCACCCACTAAATGGGAAATGCTGCAATGCAAAGGATGTGGAGTGTGAGGTTTACATGGGAGAAACACTGAGTCTGGTCCAGGGTGCCCATCCCACCACAGAGATTCTCACCACACAAGAACTTACATGGCTGGGTAGGAGGTGGCATTTCTCACACCACTCCATGGTTCAGGGGGTTCTGGAGGGGCAAACCGCAATGGGCCTACAGGTGGCTTGGCAAAGGGAATGCCCAGAAAGATGTGGACTCCCACATTGGTGTCATTCACATGGACGAGGCTGCCCTGCACCTGCCCATATTGTGTGGTCCTGATGGGGCTGGCTGGCTCCTGGCCTGTGGGTAGAGATGCACATCAGAATTGCTTTGGCCCCATCAGCTGCCACTCACATTGTGGCTCCTGTTGGCTCTATGCCACCCACAGCTCAGCCTGGCAAGGTCCTCTGATGTGCAGGTTCAATGGCTTCACATACATTCTGCCTGCATGACTGTGCCCCAACACCACTGTTTTCACTGACCTGACCCAGACCTTCCTACCAGTCAGGATCCCTGAGGTTCTCAGGGACTTGATGTCACCATTAAGCCCTACCAGCTTCCAGCTTATGTCTTAAGTGATGGGAGAATAAGCATCATTTCTAGTAAGCCAACATTTTTAACAAGGCACCATGAGGAAGCTGAGGACTGGACTGAACCTTTCCAATCCTCATGGAACTCACACTGGAGGTAGCTAAAATGCTAAGATGAGATAAGGGCCCTAAGGAGAGAGGAACATAGCTCTGATCAGATCATGAAAACCCTTGCCGGCTTTTGTTGGGGTTCAAGAATGGAGAAGGTCATTGGAAATTATCTCATGTTCACATCAAACTGGCTTGTACAATCATAATAACTGTTTAGGTGAATGCTGTATACATTAGGTTTATTTCCACTACCTTAATACAGAGATTGCTTTCATTTGTGCTCATAGTAGGTAGCCCCAAAACTCCTGCTCCTTTACGTGTTTTTAGACATCTAGTCAGGGCCACAATCCCTGGCTATATTTTAATCAGTACCAATTCCACCTCTATGAGAACACTCTCTCCCCCATTATCATCTTCAGTTTGCAGAAATTCACGAATCTGACCTGTTCCTATAAGAAAAATAACTCTCCTGCCCCTAACCACTATCTTGGAGCTAGTTGTGAATCAGCCAGTTTCATGTAGCCTGGTATGACTGAATCAAGATAGCAACTACAAATAGACACCACAGACAGCAATTTCCCAAATTCATGATACCTTTCTAGGGAGATATAGCTCTTCCAGAACCAGAAACTGTTGCAGGGGAATATTGCACAATCCCAAGATGCTTTTCTGGTGATGATGTAGACCCAGTCAGGACATACCACTGACCTCCATGTTGTCTTCGCTAGAGGTTTTGGCTACATGAGAACTCTGACCCTGGAACTCACTGTGGCCACCATACTTCATAGTTGTTACAGTAAAGGATAAACATTGCTCATAGGTTCCTGTTAAAGACCAGCCACATAGATGTTGCTTCAAGCCTCTCATGAAATATTATGAAGAAGCTGAGTCATGCAGTGTCAAAAAGTGACCCTTGAATTAGGAGATTTAAAACCCTGGGATTTCTGGATACATTGACTTACACAACCAGCTCCTCCTGATAATAACAGTTGTGACCTTTGAATTACTATTTCATAATCAATACCCAGAGCCTGATCAGGAGCAGGTAATGGAGGGAATCTGGTAGGAGTGGGCCATGGGTGAGGTAAGGGGAATGGCTTAGGGGAGAGAGAGTAAGGAAGTTCATCAGGGCCCACCCTAGCACGCTGTGGGATGAGGGGGATCAAAGGTTGCACATACATTTCTGAACATAATTTTCTGGTGGCATGAGCTCCTGATAAGGGCCTGAGGACTTTGTAGTAGGCATAGGGTACATACCCTTCACCCAAGGAGCCAACAAGCTTTTGCCCAGATTTGAAACCTAGGTGAAAGAAACCCAGTAGCATCTCAATTCAAATTCATGATACCTTTCTAGGGAGATATAGCTCTTCCAGAACCAGAAACTGTTGCAGGGGAATATTGCACAATCCCAAGATGCTTTTCTGGTGATGATGTAGACCCAGTCAGGAACAGAGGATAGTGTGAATGACAATTACATGAGCAAATGCAGGAATAATTACAGCTACTGCTGCCATAACACATACAGGAGGGAAATGTCTAGAATTCCTGACTCTGCCTGGCACATTTCAGTGCACCTCAGACTCCTTCATTTGGGGCTCACTCCTCTGTGTCCTCAGGCATCAATGACCCTCTCTGAGTTCTATGATCACCACTGTGGGCATTTTATGGATACTTATGGAACACAATTTTCCCATACTATCATCTGTTATGTCCACCTGCCCCTCCATCCCTCCTTTCTCCAAGCTAAAACTCTCTGTACAATGTGGCAGATCTCACTCTGGGTCCTATTACCCTCCACTCCCCACCCAGAATTATCCCCTGTAGGAGTCTCACCCTTAATTCCAAGTGGGAGAAGCAGGAATCCACAGACCACTGCAGTCAGACAAGCAGGAAGTTGGTGGAGCAGCATGGCTGCCTCACAAGACCTTTTCTGGCCCTCCAGACAGCACACTGCAACTGAACAACAGGTACAGTTCAAGTAGACCTTGCCCAGCCAGGAGTTTGGACCTGACATGGAGTAGGTAGGGACATTTAGAGGCTGGGCAAGGTTGTTCCCTGCAAGAGAATGTTGTCACTGATGGGGCAGTGGTCACAGGAAGTCAGGGCCTCATGCATGCAAGGCAAGTGCTCTACCACTGAGCCACCTTCCCAGCCCAATTCTTTGAATTGCAGATGTCATGCTTTTAGTCCCACAAAAGCTTTGCTACAGACAATACTCACTCTTGATTATTTCCTTAGATGGTTTGATTTGCTCACCCCTGACAGCTCCCCTATATGGAAGCTTTGCTTGCCACTGAGTAATTTCTTATATGGTTTGCTTGGGTCTCCATGCCAAACATGTGGTATTTGTCTTTAAAAACTTTATGCAATCTACATTCTGGGCTGCAGATCTTTGAGACAGGAGTCCACCTGTAGTTGCCAGCTTTCTAATAAGATTCCCAGTTGGGCCTCTCATGATGTGGTTTCTCTGTTTCTCCTGGTTGAATTCCTGTATAAAATTAGTTCAAGTTCTGGGTCTGGTGCCAGCCAAATGGGTTACTGCTGGATGAGGGGAGAAAGTGATGCTGCAGTGTTGGTAAATCAAGACACTCGTCTGGAAACTCAGAAAAAGGATATTTGGCTACTCAGATTCAATAGTTCTCTTTGACCTTCATTCTCCTAATCTAAATAGCACCTGAGCTGAAGGGGCTGAGAGTTTAGCTCCTTGAAGTTCAAGGTCTAGGATCAAATTCCTTTATTTTGACTGAAAATCACAATGCTTCTTCTTAGTACTGTGGCTGCTTCTTCTTAGTACTGTGGCTGTGGTGCACCACTGCAAGGTTGAAGGTCCGGGTGGGTCCTTCCACTTCCTGCACCACCATTCAAAGACCATGACATCTACAATAACCATGCTAAAAACATGGAAAGAAAGGTTCTTAGAAGAATCTCCGTATGTTTGAGGAGTTTGATGAAAACTTACATATACCTAATGATCTGGACAAAGATGAGGAGACAGAGCCAAGATGTGTGTGTGTGTGTGTGTGTGTGTGTGTGTGTGTGTGTGTGTGTGTGTAGAGACAGAGAGGGAGAGAGAGAAAGAGAAAGAGAGAATGTGAGAGAGACATACAGAAAGACAGAGAAAGAGACACAGAGAGAAAGACACAGAGAGGCAGAGCGAGAGAAAGAGAGAATGTAGTGAGAATCATTGAATACTGGCACAATGCGTTGTTAAATAGAGAATATATTGAGTGTATGTGTGCTGTGAAATAATATGAAATATTAAGCTGTGAAATTAGGAGTTAGCACTATGGACTACAGAGATAAGAACACATCTAGGGAGCCAAAGACTTTACCAAGGGGACCAGCTGAAGCAGAACCTGCAGAGATAACTAGACAAGGCCAGAAGTGAAGCCATCACCAAGGCAACCAGCCGGCAGCAATAACCAGAAAGGACAGAAGTGAAGAAGCCCAGCCTAAAACATATAAAAACCCAGGAAAGCGAAGACCAAGTGAGACGACCTCCCTGAGCCAATCGACTCCACATCAGACTGACCCTCCACTGGAGCGCCCAGGCAAGGTGGCCACTACTCCCTCCAGCTATCCAGAGCAGCCAGGAGGACACTCTCAATGGACACCCCTCAACCTTTGGACCAAGTGACATGCCTCATGAGTTCTCCACGTGTGGGACATGCTTACTAGAATTAGGTATAAGAGTTAGTTATTGGTGTGGATTCATACTGGAATATTGGAAGTGTTTGGATAAAGTGAGTGAAACTTACTAGTCTAAGCATGATGCTACATGTGTGCTCTGCAGAGAGAGAGAGAGAGGCAGGCAAACACAGACACAGACACAGAGAGACAAGCAAAGAGAGAGAGAAAGAATCAGATACATGAACCAGGTACCAATGGCCCACAACTGCAATCTTAACTTCTCAGCTAACATCTGAGGATCCTGGTTGAAAGCTATTCCATTGCACTCACCAACAGGCATAATTCACTTGGCCCTTTTCCAACCAGGAGTTTGGACGTGACATGGGATAGGCAGGGACATAGGAGAGGGAGGGCAAGGTTGGTTCTACAAGAGAGTGGCACTGATGGGGCAGTGGTCACAGGAAGTCAGTGGTCAGCACTTTTTGTGAGCCCTTCCCTTCCCCTACTTTTCCTTTGTCCTCCTCCAGGGGAGCTGTGTGGCTTCTGCAGTCCTTGGAATACTGTGAACTGTCACTACAGTGAAGTTTGTAAATTCGGCACTATCCTGAGAGAAGCAGGCTCAGAATCCCACAGATGGATAATGCCCCCACAACATGAGTGCAAACATGAGTACTTGAGCAGAGACAGGGAGCTATGACTGTGCTCATTTTGAAATTCTTCCTTGAACTTATTGTTCACAAGTTGCCAATTCCCACTCTAGTTCTGTTATCTCTTAGAGACCTGGTCTGAGGGTCTGCATGGACCCCTTCCTGTTTGTGAGTGGCTGTCCATTCAAACATACTCTTCACTGTGGCCCTTCATTTTTAAATATATTTTTGTCATAAAAATACTGTGCAGAGGGGTTTTACAGTTACATGAGTAAGGTAATGAGTACATTTCCTATTGAGCATTGTTACCTCCTCCTTTGTTTTTCCCTACCATCCCTTCCCTACCTACCTCCCCAACTCCTCCCTTCCTCCCCTCCCACAAGTTGTAAAGTTCTTTTTCAACATAGTTTCTTGTACATCTCATTGTTACAGTGGGTCAACCAGTATCCCTGTTTAAGCATTTTGTTTATTTCCCTTACCCTCCTCAAATAAGTAAAGTGTATATACAAGATGTAGGGTATGGGAATCAAATACAGTGAAAACAAGAGTTATGCCATGTGGGAGGAACATACTAAAGAAATTTTAAAAAATCACATAGTACATTATAAGTATTTTTTAAAACAATAGCAAGAAAGGAAAAGAACATTTGTGTCAGTGTCTTGGGGGGTTCATTTCGCTTAACATCATCTTTTTTTTTTATTGTGAAAATACCTTACAGATGGATTACAATTACAATGGCAAGATAATGAGTACATTTCTTATCAAGCATTGTTGGCTCCTCCTTTGTTTCCCCTCCCCATCCCTTCCCATAACCATGCCCCCCCCATACCCGATCCTCCCTCCCACCAAAGGTATAAAGTTCATTTTTCAACATAATGACTTGTACATCTCATTGTTGCAATGTGTCCAACTGCATCCCTATTTAAACAATTTGTTTTTTCTCTTTCCCTACACAAATTATACCAACATTAAATGCCATGAAAGCAGGGGTTATACTGTGGGGGAGGGACATACAAAGCAATGAAGAAATCATCTTATAAATATGCTAAAAACAATTGCATGAAAGAAAAAAATTTGAATACTTATCTTGGGGTTCATTTCCCTAACATCAACTTATATGACCTTTTCTGCTTGATTCAGACATATACTAGTTATGGCAAATAAGGGAAACCATTGGACCTATGTTTATTGGGGCATGGCTTACTTCACTAAATATAATTTTTTCCAAGTCTTTCCATTTCCTAACAAATGGGGCAATGTCATTCTTCCTGATGGAAGCATAGAATTCCACTGTGTATATATACCACATTTTCTTGATCCATTCATCTACTGAGGGGCATCTGGGTTGGTTCCATATCTTAGCTATGGTAAATAATATTGCTTCAATTAACATAGTTGTGCTGGTAGCTTTAGTATGGTCTTGTTTGTGGTCATTTGGGTAAATGCCCAAAAGTGGGATTGCTGGGTCATAGGGGAGCTCTATGTGGAGTCTTTTGAGAAACCTCCATACTACTTTCTAAAGTGGTTGAACAAGTTTACACTCCCACCAACAATGAAGTAGGGTGCCTTTCTGTCCATATTTCCTCCTGTTGTTATTAGAGTTCTTGATTATAGCCATTCTAACTGGGGTGAGGTGGTATCTCAATGTTGTTTTGATTTGCATTTCTTTTATGGCTAGGCAGATTGAGCATTTCTGCATGTGTCTATTGGCCATCCTTCTTTCCTCTTCAGAGAAGTTTCTCTTTAAGTCTTTAGCACACTTAAGTATTGGGCACTTGTTTCTTTGAGGACTTGTTGTTGGGGGATTTAATTTTTTGAGTTCCAGGTATATTTTAGATATGAGACCCTTGTCCGTTGTATGGCTAGTGAAGTTCTTCTCCCAATCCGTGGGCTTTCTATTGATCTTGCTAGCTATGTCCTTTGCCATGCAGAAGCTCTTCAATTTCATGCAATCCCATTTGTCCAACCTATGATGAGTCCCTGCCTGATTTGGTGATGAGGGTTATGATGGCTTCATAGAATGAGTTCAGTAGTGAATTTTCTCTTTCAATTTCATTGAAGAGTTGGGGGAGTATTGGTGTGAGCTCTGCTTTGAAGTGCCTTGTAGAATTCCTCTGTAAATCCCTCTGGTCCGGGGCTTTTCTTAGATGGGAGGTCTCTTATTGCTGTTTCTATTTCAATGCTTCATATGGGCCTGTTAAGATGGTTTAACTCATCTTGATTTAGTTTCAGCATGTTGATATTTGCTAGGAAAAGGTCCATTTCTGCCAAGTTCTCAAACTTATTAGAATAAAGGTTTGAGAAGTATTCCCTTATAATGTTCTGAATCTTGGTTGTTTCTGTGGTGATGTTTCCATTCTCATTTCTGAGTATATTTATTTGGGTGTGTTCTCTTCTTTCTCTGATAAGATTTGCCAAGGGTCTATCAATTTGTTAATTTTTTCAAAGAACCAACTCTTTGTTTTGTTGATTCTTTCTATGTTTTTTTGGAATCTAATAATTCTGATTTAATTTTAATTATTGCTTTCCATCTACTGGATTGGGGTTTATCTTGCTGTTCTTTCTCAAGGAGGTTCAGGTGTCTCATTAAGTTGTTGGTTCCAGATGTCTCCCATTTGTTGATGTAGGAACT